CGGGAAAGCGGGGCAACCCAAGGCAAATGGGCAAATATGTCAATTTACAAATAACCTTTCCCAAGAAAATGCAGCTATTCCATTGTGGGTGACACAATACCAAATGTGTTGTGTCCTCTGCTCTCTTCATTAACTATTGTGAAAGAAAAAGAATTCTAAAAAAATCTGTTTTTTAATGCTTCAAATTTTTTTTAAAAGACGTTTAATTTATAAATTAAAATTATATAATTAAAATTATTTTTAATTTATATTTTTTTTTTATTAAAAAAAATATTATAACAAATTATAAATTATAATTTAAACTAAATTTATAAATTTTTTAACTAAACAACTCCTTATATTAAAATGAAAAAGAGAAAGTAAATGAGAGACGGTGGAGACCACAAATGAATAGTTGGAGCAGTAGTTAAGAGTGTGCATTAAATAAAAAAGACGTTTTCGTGGGCTAAGTCCTCTTTCCTCGTTAAACGGGCTCGCTTTTTGTTTTTGTTTTTCCTTGGTTCCTTATCCTACGCTCTCGCTGACACCGACATATATCTCTGATCACGGTCTTACCCCCCTTCGCCCGCTGGATCAGATCCTTGGACGGTTGAGATCCAGTTTTCTTTAATCGCCGTCTCTGGCATGACGTGTTTTACGGAAGACACGTTTGCCTTCACAACTATTCCCCAATTTAACCTCTTTCCTTTTTTTTTTCTTTTCTTTTTTTGGATGAAGAGCCTCATAATTTTCTTTTACAGGTTTCTCTACTAAGATTAAAAATAAAAACAAAAAATCACAGCATATAATTCTCTTCTTTTCAATCGTGATCTTTAAAAAAAAAAATTATATATTCAACATATTTTTTTAATTTAATATATTTTTAATTAAATTTAACAGTTAAAAATATGATATTAGAGAAGTTCTATTTTTAAAATTTTTTTAGAAGCTTTTCTTATAAAACTAAAAAAATAAATTATCAATATTTTTTTTTTTTTTAGTCGTCATTAAAAATTGTTCTGCCATGCGTATATAAAAGAGTAGTGATGGGGTTAAAACAATTAATTAATTTCAGTGAGAAGAGATTAAGCAAAAATTCTCTGGGGCCTTAATTCACTGACGGGGGGGTTAGCATGTTGAGTTTGACCATCATATCAACGGTAGGCAGTAGTAGGCTTCCCCTAAACGATAATATTTTTATTTTTACATGCCTGACTCACTCACTTCTTTTATTTTTTAATTATTCATTTACCTACAACTGCAACTCATCTTGCATATATATAAATGGATTTTTCTGTGAAGCAGCAGTAATTTTTTGGGGTCACGCAGATCACGTGGACATTGAACAGTGTAGAAAGTTTACCGGTATTTTCCGGTGTGTATGTATATGCTTTTTACCTGTTCATGCCTCTCAATGAGAAAATAGTACACTGATTAATTGTTATGGAGGGCAAATGGGTAAACTGAGTGGAATACTTTATTACTTTAAAACTTTTTTACATATTTATTTGGAGCGTAAAATAGTAAAGTTACATTATTAAATTATTAAAAACTAATTTTTTTAATCGTATGATTGATTCATGATTCGTTACAGTATTTTTTTTCATAAAAAATACACATAAATTAAAAATAATTCTAATCACGTAATTCTAATTCATAAACCAAACGTAATAGGCACGAAGAGTAGTGTAATACTCCAGTGACAAGTCGTAATGGAGAGATGATGAGTCGTAACGGAGATGTAAGACTGCATTTTGAAATCTTTTTAATCATTTTGATTTCAAATCTTTTTAATCATTTTTAATCATTATGAAAAAGTCACATAATCATGATAGCTCAAGTCACGTTGTTTAATGAAGGTGATCAGTGTTATTGTCGTGAAGATGTTACATGTTTCATGCACCTGCCATGTATTTTGCATGCAATTAAATAGGAAGATGATAAGAAAGATTAATTAAAAATTGTGAAGACTGATATGGCTTGAATGTTGATGTTCTTTTCTTAATATATATTTTTTTCTTTTTTTCTTTTTACTTAAAACTCTTTTGTAGTTTTAATTCCTTTTTAATGTAATTCTTTTAAATGTTTTTTTCCTCGATTGTTTCTATTAAAATAAATTTTTAGTATGGGCAATTTTTTTTTCCCTCGATTGTTTCTATTAAAATATATTTTGAATGTGCCCACACATTTTTTTTCGTGTAGTCCTTATTATTTGAAAAGTGATCCATTTTAATATATTTGTGTCGACGGTGCATTAACAACTAACTAAAAAGTCTATTGTTTAATAAATTAAAAAAATTATTAATACGATAATCAAAACTTAATACGCATACAAAATTGCTCACCGCGTGCATAGCAACTAGTTTTTATGAGAAACGTGGGTTTGTTTTATTTATTAATTTGTTTAATTGAAAAAAGAGACAAATACTTCTTAGAATGTATGAGTCTAGATTTTTACCAATTACTCTTGATTAATACCCATTTTAATTAAATAACTATATTAGTAAAATGGTATTAATCAAGAGTAAGGGTTAAAAATCTAGACTTATGCACTCTAAGAATAAGTTCAACGATTTTTTGCGTTTTTGACAACCTATCTTTTAAACTTTTACGGTGTCGTTTATTTTATTAATTTAAATTTTTAATTATAAGTTTTTGTCGTTAAAAATTTTTAAAAAATATTATATCTAATTTTTTTTATTACAGTTAAAAATTTTTAAAAAATATCATATCTCATTTTAAATTAAAATTATAACAAATGTTTGGGTTTGTAAGATTTACAGTAGGATTTGAGTTAGATTGAAATTTTGATCTTCTTCCTCACAAGAAATGTAAGTGGGCTTTTCATCACAATTTAACAAGAAGCTAAGCAAAAGAGGGCATATTTCAAAAATATAGAAAGTCCTGAGGAGAAATTACTATAATTTGAAGTTTCAGAAATAAGTTGGCCAAATTAAAGACGGAAAGTTGGAGGGGCAACAATGGTAAAACCCGTGACTTAGGATTACAACTAGAAAGTAGAAACCCACTCAGGAATGAGTGCTGGAGAGGATTGCACTCTAACAGCCCTTGTATTTTACTTAAATTATAGAGACACTCATTTGATCAAAATATATTACACAAGTATCCCCTTATGCGTTTAAAGGTCTAACAATCCTCAGGGTTTTAAATTATTCAAATGACCTCTCTATTAATAAATTGTCTCTTTTCAAACAAAATTAATGTGTCGATGCGAATGAGGATTTTAAGGGAGAGAAAATAGTAGAAGAAAATAGATAATAATAGAAAATTATTGTTAAAAGAAGAAATAACTAAAGTGAAGATTTTTTTTTTCTTTTTAGAATTCTTTTTGAACTTGTTTTTTTGCAAATTGTATATGAATAGAAAATAAATGTTAGCATCATTCTTTTTTATTACTTTATGTATTTACAATTTAATACGTCAACTTCATTATCTCATTTCCTGTTTAAATAATAATATATCATATTAGTAGAGTTCATATTTTCAGAGAGTGAGAAACAAAGTGATAGTGATACAAGCATTTCTCTGGATAAAAAATGAGGAAAACTGGATATTTAAAAGTGAATATCCCGACTAAAATGAGATGAGCGTGTTTTCAATAGTAAAAAAAAATCAAGATAAATTTTATTTTTGAGTTCAAAAAAATAGAGGTTAAGATCTACATTTTTTCTTAAGAACTAAATCTACTTATTTTGTGGGATGAGGTGGCAATCAAATACGATATTCAGGCTCTGTTTGGTAGGAGAGATAGCGAGTAGAAATGATTAATAGAATTGGATGGATGAAGATTGAAGAGTAAGAATGATAAAAGGGATTATAGTAATCTTTCATGTTCTTCAGTATGAGTGAAAGAAAGTTAAAATGATAGATGATAGTTATTTATCTAATTATTATATTATCTATTTTATTTATTTTATTTATTTAGTAATAATTTATTTTAAAGGTAAAATAGACTTTTAATTTTAAAATTAAATGAATTATTTGTATTATTCTATTAATAAAATGATCTAAATTAGTGAATATGAAGAGACTCTCCCTCCACACTCCTCTCTCCTCTCATTTCCAACCAAACAAAGATGTTATTCTCTCCCCTACCTCTCTCTTCCATCCCCTCCTTTTCTCTTACCAAACACACTCTAAATAAAAGGCTCATGAAATACGGTGTTCTGTAGACTAGGGATGTCAAAAGGAAAAGGGCAAAACCGGATTTTAAGGAGCCGTTAGAGAGGCGCTCGGGAAAGCGGGGCAACCCAAGGCAAATGGGCAAATATGTCAATTTACAAATAACCTTTCCCAAGAAAATGCAGCTATTCCATTGTGGGTGACACAATACCAAATGTGTTGTGTCCTCTGCTCTCTTCATTAACTATTGTGAAAGAAAAAGAATTCTAAAAAAATCTGTTTTTTAATGCTTCAAATTTTTTTTAAAAGACGTTTAATTTATAAATTAAAATTATATAATTAAAATTATTTTTAATTTATATATATTTTTTATAAAAAAAAATACTATAATAAATTATGAATCATAATTTAAATTATGATTTAAATTTTTCAACTGAACAATCTTTAAATTCTGTCTAGTTTTTATAATTAAAATTATTTTTAATTTATATATATTTTTTATAAAAAAAAATACTATAATAAATTATGAATCATAATTTAAATTATGATTTAAATTTTTCAACTGAACAATCTTTAAATTCTGTCTAGTTTTTCATTTTTTAGATTAATATTAAATATAAATTATTAAATAATGTATAAAACAGAAGAAATCAGAGGAGGGGCTTGCAGCTTTGCTTTAAGATTTTCTGTATACGAAATTCTTGATAATTGCTTACTATTTTTGCCATTAACTTTTTTTTTTTTTTTTGCCTTTGATGAAATTATGAACTGAAAAGAACGAAAATGAATTGGAGAAATTAGACACACATTTCGAGGCTCTTCTTTCTTCAGTACTACCCAACTGTAGTAAGATTCCCAATTCTCTCTTCTCTCTGCTTTTGGGATTTCGCCCACTAAAAATTTTCTTTCTTATGTTTTCCACTTCTTCTCCTTCTTTATCTTCATCCCCATTTCAGAGTACAAAAAACTTTCTCAACTCCCAAACTCATTTATTACTTTTCCTTTTTCTTCCGAGTCTGTTCATTCAGGTTTCCAATACTGGGATTAGCACTAAACTACTCTCTGTTTTTCACCAAAAACGTTATTACGTTTATGTCCTCTCCACTTCTAGCTTCAGAGCTAAACTGAACCTGAAAAAGAAAAGTCAAAACACTCACCATCATTGTTTCACTAAAACAACGTTTTATTCCCTAATTATCCTTCTGGTTTCGCTTCAAAACCCTTCTTCTTATTCTTCTTCTTCTGCTGCTGCTTTTTGGAGCTGGCTTATCAACATTGTCCGAAGAAGGGCATTTTCCTCTTCACCAAGGCTATAAAGAAAAAAAGGTCTTTTTTGTTTTTTTTTTTTTTTGGGGATTTTCCATTTTCTACTTCTTTCAGTGATTTCATTTGAAAAAGTAAAAAAAATGGGTTTAGTATTTTCGTTCCTCTGTTTTCCATTGTTTTAAGGATTTTTTTTTCTTTTGGGACTTTCCATTTTTCCATTATTTCCACAGATTCTGCTTGGGAAACCGGAAAATCCAAATGGGTTTTTCTTCGTGAACCGGGAAGTCGAAATCTTGGCCTAGAAAATGGGCTGTACGAACTCCAAACCAGAGAAAGACGAAGCCTTGCGACTCTGCAAAGAGCGAAGACGCTTCATCAAACAAGCGATCGATTCCAGGTACGCCTTAGCAGCCTCCCACGTTTCTTACGTCCAGTCCCTCCGAAACGTCGGCATTGCGCTTCGCCGTTTCGCAGAAGCCGAGGTTTTGATAGAATCTTCCTTGTCCATCTCCGACAAAACCCCATCACATTCCTCGTACCCTTCGCCCTCCCCTTCACATCTCAATGAGGTTTCCGACTCTCCATTGCACAACAACGAAAACCCACTTCCGCTTTCGACCAACATTAACTACATGAGGTCCAATGGTGGTGGGACCCGCGCTGTAACCGTGAGGCTTGATCCGACCAGTGATGGGTTTGTTGAGGAATTCCCAATGCCGCCTCCTCCGCCGCCTTTTCATGAGTCCGGGTCTTGGGATTTCTTCGACCCCATTGATGAAAACGGGAGCTTTAGTTTTGCGGCTTCTAATGAAGTTGATTTTAGTTTTGATGGGGTTGAGAAGAAGAAGAAGAAGACTTGTGAGCCAAGTGGGAAAGATGGGAGTTTTGGTAATGGTGAAGTGAAGAAGTTGGAGGAAGTTGGTTTGAAGAAAGAGGACAAGAGTTTGGTGGAGAAAGATATGAGTGGGGAAAGAGAGGATCCTTCGGAGTTTATTACTCATAGAGCTAAGGATTTTCTTTCGAGTATTAAGGATATAGAGCACCGGTTCTTCAGAGCTTCGGAATCCGGAAAGGAGCTGTCTAGGATGCTTGAGGCGAATAAGATCAGGGTTGGTTATTCGGAAGCAAAAGGTAGTTGAATTTGTTGGATTGTCTGGTTTTCATACTCTTTTTTCTTTTTTTCTTTTTTTTGGTTTTGTTGGATTGAGTTATCTAATTGTTGAATGTTTTTCTATGTAGGGAGGTCACCTGGCTTGGCTATTTTACAAGCTTTTCAGCTTGTTTGCTGTCAAGGAAAGAGTTCACTTGTCTGTCATGGTGAGTTTTTAGATTGACAATGACACAAATAAAAAGTTACTTGGTGGTGATTATCGATTGAGAAAGTAACTCCTTAGTGTTTGAACATGCACATTTTTACCTTCAGTGACTTGTGAAGATGAATCCCTTACTAGTTGCTATTTTTGGCTTGTGCAATTCAATAAGCCTTCACTGACCTTCAATAAAAATGTTAGAATTTGCATAAAGAAGGCAATTTGTTTAGTGTTAGTATCAAAGTTTAGTTCTCCTTCATTGAGTGAGAGGCTCCTTTCAGTTTACTGAGATTGTTTAATAAAATGGGGAAAAACTATTCTCCTTGGATAATGCCTAGTTGGTTGGAATCTTCATTTTCTACTCTTAACTAAAACGCAAGTACTTTTTTTCCCCCCTGTAGAGCCTACACCACAAGGGTCAAAGGTTATCACATGGAAACGAACAACGTCGACGAGATCATCTTCATCGAGGAATGCTCTTGCCGCAGCATCAAAGGACGATGGCAACGATAGCGGAAGTGATTTTGTTGATGAGTTCTGCATGATTGCCGGATGTCATTCCTCCACCTTGGATAGACTGTATGCATGGGAGAGAAAACTCTGCGATGAAGTGAAGGTACATAAGCGGTTGAAGACACATCACATTGTGAAGATACAAGGATCTTAGTGGTGCTCTCTAAATTATATTCTAGGTCTTTTTATACTTTCAATAGTTGCCACTTAATGCCATTGTCATAACATTCATGCAAGGCTAACTAATTGAATAAGTTCACCAAGTACAGAATTTCTAAAGTGATTATGCTTGTAAGTTTGTAATTCAATTTTCCTCTCATTTGCTCACCTTGTTGCCCCTTGTAGGCAAGTGAATCTGTCAGAAAGGAGTACGACGAGAAATGCGAACAGCTTCGGTACATGTTTGCTAAGGATTATAGCAGTCAAGTGATTGATAAAACCAGGGCAGTTGTGAAGGATCTACACTCACGCATACGAGTAGCGATTCATTCTGTGGATTCTATCTCGAAGCGGATCGAGAAAATGAGGGATGAGGAGTTGCATCCACAGCTTGCTGAACTCACTCAAGGGTGAGTAAGATGTTCCTCTTTCCCCAAAAGGGACATTGAAGAATCTCTAGAAACTACACAATAATATTTGTTGTATTATATATATATATATATATATATATGTTTGTTGGCCTATGCAGGTTGGTCAGAATGTGGAAGGCCATGCTTGAATGCCATCATGCTCAATACATTACAATCTCGCTTGCATATCATTCGAAGAACACATCAGGGACCCCACAAGGAGACGCCCACAGGCAGATCATGGATCAACTTTTGCAAGAAGTCGAATGCTTTGGCCTAAGCTTTGCAGACTGGATCAACAGCCTCACATCATATGTGGAGGCCCTCAATTGTTGGCTCCAGAACTGCATACTACCACCACGAGAGCGTTCCAAGAGAAGGCCCTTCTCCCCCAGACGGTATCTGGGCCCACCCATATTCACCCTCTGTCGTGATTGGGCTTCTGAGATAAGAGCCTTGCCATCTGCCGAACTCACCACTGCAATCAGGACCTTCATGTCGGATCTTCAGCGGATTACGGTGCACCAAGCAGAGCAGCAGAAGATCACAGTTGATGCTGCAAATGGACAATCTGAAGAAAACAAAGATGATGAGAACAGTGGGGATTCGTCATTGCCGTCCTCAAATCTGGGCTGCGTACACGCAAGTTTGACAAAAGTTCTTGATAGACTGACTAAATTTTCAGAGGCGTCCCTTAAAATGTATGAAGATATTAGGCAGAAAAATGAGGCAGTTCGAATTGCATATTCAAACTGCAGACTTACTAGTGCTAGATGATATGCTAAAACGTCATATAATTATTATATTATGAGTATATCTTGATTTTGTTGCTGGAGAGATAGATTGTGTAAATTTTAAGGTTTGCGAACTGTTTTTCTTTGGTTTTTCTCTTTAAATGGGTAAAAAAAAAACAATCAAAATTTTGCTCACTGCGGTTCATACATTGGAACCAATTAACTGATCTTGATTACGAGTTGTGCAGCCAAAACATCCCTTTAAGTTCTGTCTGAGTTGTCATTTCCTCTAGATTTTGAATATTTCATATTGGGTTTTGACACTTTTTGCTCTCGTTTCTGGCATTGCCAACTTTAGCTTTTAAGTTTGACAATTGCCCTTTTAACTTGTTAATAAGTTGTTGCAATGTAGTCTATTTTACTAATTTTGTTCTGAACTTGATCAGATTTGAGGTATTGAAATATGACAACTGAAAATTTTGTATTAAAAATGAACTGAGATTTTGAAATTTTAGGTCGGACGTTTTTTTTTTTTGGCCACCATTTTAATACAATCATGATCAGAATAGACTACATTGCAACTATTAAACAAGTTGGGAGATAAATTGTCAAAATTACACTTAAGAGGCAAGTTATCAACGACTAAAAAGTTCTAGGGGACAAACATGCAAAATACCCTTGATGGCCAACTCTTACTTCTAAGAAGATACCAATTTTTTTGACCACATGTTTTTTTTTTTTGTAGGGCAGTTTTTTTTTTTTTTTTTTTTTTTTTTTCTTTAAACGCAAAATACTGCTCATCTTTATGTACAAACTAATATTTATGTCGGTTTCAACTAAGGAAATGTTTAGGAAAAAAAAAGAGAAAAATACATAGTTTTCTACATATTCATTATTCATGTTATTGTATATTTTTAAGTGAAGTGATATAAATAATATTTTTTTTACCGCTTCACTAATAATTTTATGTTCTTTTTTGAGGGCTTGATTATTTAAAGTGTTTATGAACAACATCCTTATTGTTTTATTCATTTTTCGTCCCTTTGATGTGACTAGAATTACTCTTTTTATTTTTTTTTCAAAAAAAAAATTACTGATTTTATTATTAAAATAAGTTAAATTATAAATATTCCGCAAAAAATGTTTTCTTTCCTTCTTTAGGCTTTTTTTTAAGGGTCAATGAGTTCCTCATAAATTCATTCAACAGAATTATGTTTTTGTGTTCTTTCTTTCATTAGTGTGTGTGTGTGTGTGTGTGTGTTTCAATTTTCTTTAATGAAAGTTTCTCTTATAAAATCCTCTATTTTTTTCATTAAAATAAATTATTATTTTATTAGTATTTATTCTTGATAAAATATTAAAGAATTTATTTTCAAATAAACATGAGAAGATCAAAATTAAATCTTAAATTAATACTTATAGGGTCTGTTTGGTAGGGTTTTAGAATGCTTTTGTTTTGACTATGAATATGAAAATGAGAATTTTTTGGGATTGTTGTTGTGAATGTTTCTGAAATTACATTTGGTATTTTTTTGAGAGATTATTTTTGTATGAGGAAAAAATTAAATTTTGTTTGGGTACATTTCTAAAAATGTGTATTAAGTTATAGTTTTAGAAAATAAAATAAAAATGTAAAAACTTTCAACTATATTATTTTTTTTTTTAACAAAAATCACTAATAATCTTTTTTTTTATTTTTATTATGGTTTTTAAAACATTTGCTAACTAAATACGATTATTATATTCTAGAAGTACATAATATTATCCAACCTTCGTACATAGATGACACGTGAATTTAACTAGTATTTCCTAAACGACAACAAACTTTCTAATAAAAATGACATATCGCTTAACATCTTACTATTAGACTAAGAACGGCATGTAGCTTGATACAAGGTACATTTGTCCCTTAGCATTGGTGCAACTGGAATGCCAATAGGAAATAAACAAAACAGTGGTGGGAACGAATAAGAAGGACTCGTTTAGTTTATAAGTTCAAATCAGTAATTTTAATTCCGTACTTAAATTTTGTTAGAGAATCTATTAGGGTAAACTTTTTAAATTCAAATTTTTTTAAAAAAAAATACTATATCAGAATCAAAATCATGAATTTAAACTGATAAAACAAACGGAACCTAAACTTCATAAGTGACAATTGACCCGATTTTCTTTATTTTTTTCCACCTTTTTCCTCACCGCATCATACTATTTCCAAATACTTTCTATGAAACATCTGAAGGACTTCACCTTTTGCTCTAGTTTATACAGTGCACCATAATAGAATTAACCATTCTCATATATCTTATCCATCTTATAAATAGCATTACAAATAAAGTCACGTTTAATTCTTTTAAAATCATAATTTATTATTTTAATTTTTAAATTTTAAATTTTTTAAGAGAAAAACACTATAACAGAACTAAAAACTATAATCCTGAACTAGACAGAATCTTTAAAACAAACGTCCCTTTTAAGCTCAAGACACATATATATCTATTTTTGCCCGGCCCGAAGATATGGCATGAAGGCTGAAGCCAACGACTCTTACATTCCTTTGTATAAATAACTTTAGAAAATTAAAAAGTAAAAGGGGAAAAAATGACAAGAAATCTCCTGGTCTCCAAACCAAGAAATAACACCCTCTCCCACCATCCAGATTTCTCTAATTTACCATCCATAATTATTTCAAAAATTCTTTTTTTTTTTTTTTTTTGGCTGAGATTTCAAACATCTACTCATTTGCTCTTTGTTTTGTATTGGATACTAGAACCCCACAAATTGAGTGTACTGAGCGTATGCTTCTGACTTCATTGCAATAGGGGCCCTTGTAACCTGATCCGGAAGATCAAATGCGTCCACAAGTTCTGTTGCAATATTTCTAACTTGGAAGCTCAGGTATTCAGTGAGTTTGTGAATTGCCTGAACAAACATAGTAAAGTTTTTCATTAGTCATGATCCCAAAAATACTAGAGCTTTCAGAAACCAAGCACGCAATGTTCATAATCAGCAATCAGGGATTAACCATAACTTTTGTCATATTTATTAACGTAAAACAGAAAATATGAATCAACAGAAAGCACATTTTTTGCTTCCGTTGGCATTTGGTAAAAACTAATCTTAATTTTGTGATTGGATCATTAATCAAGGTGATGGAGTACCTTAGCTTTATTTGGTGCCACGTAATCGACGTTACGGTAGGTTCCTATGTCCTTCCAGATTCGGTCCAAGGCATAAAGATCACAGACAAGTTTCAGGGCGGCTCGAGAACTTGTGTCAGGACAGCTGATACAGAAATGGGGAACTTCTTATAACTCAAAGCCATAAAACTCTGATAGTGAAGAATGCTGAGCTTGAGATTAGGAGGTACCTTTGTACAGCGTCAATAAACTTAGCTAGGATGACAGACTCAATATGAGATTCCGCCAATGTCAAAAGGTGATTTAAGCATCTATTCCAAGCACCAAAGCTCCCTAGATTTTTAGAGTGCTTGCGGAGTCGCACAGCAACACTTTGAAGCAATCGAGATGTTCGGTACTGCAACATCGAAAGCCACATGATAAACAATCACGTACTTTATGCTTAAAATTTCCCAAATAAAATGTCTCATCAATATAGCACTCACTCTGAAGGCATCTAACTGAAACTTAGGATCTCGTAAATGGTCTTCACTTTCCCAGCGAGCAGTTACTGGATTCGGCTGAGATAGATATGTGTTCATGGATTCTTTTAGGTAGTTCCATGTGACCGTAAATGTTCCACCCTGGAACTTCTCCTTGTATTGCTTTAACAAATCACCTGCTACCTGCATGACAACTTCAAAATTCAGAACATAATCTGTTTAAGGAATTCTTTGAACAAATATCTTTCCATTGGTTTACTCTCTAGATGGAGGTCTCTATTCTTTCGACTGTAAACCACAAATAAAGTATGTTGCATAAATGGTACAAGAAGAAATCTTCCTTTTATAAGCTAAAATCTAGAATCCACTATGCAGGAACATAGATAATGTCATGTACAACACGTAAGGGAATAAATTAACTTTATTTTTTGCTATGTTATGAATATTTATATTGCCCCATGTAGTTAATACTTACTACACTCCAAATCAGTCAAGACTGAGACGGACTCTTGAAACTAGACTAGTCACGCAGACACAAATACATGCTTGGAGATTCTTACCCTTCTATTCTGGGGTTAGCATGATGACTATAACTACTCACGACTTATTTAGTTATTAATTTATTTTTGAAATGTACGACTTATTTAATGAAATAAAATAAATTAGTTGTGTATTTAAAGTGGTTAGTTGCAACCTGTTGCAGTAGGACTGTGTTGTCTCCTTCAAATGTCTGGAAAATGTCATGATCATTCCTCAGAATACCAAAGCGGTTAACAGCAGCATACCCATGGCCTCCACAAGCTTCCCTGCAGATGCTCAACGACTTTGCTGTGTATGACGTCACATAAGCCTTGAGGCCGGCCGAAAGTGCATGAACATCCGCAACCAATTGCTCATCATGGGTCTTCTTCATCTCTGAATATTTGTCCACTAAATACACCGTCGCAAAATGGAAGGCATATGTTGAAGCGAGCATTGGCATAAGCTTGTGCTGGTGAGACTGATAGTCAAGTATACTGACTTCAGCCTGCTTGGGAGGACCAAACTGCTGGCGTAGTAATGAATACCTTATCGCAATTGTACCAGCAAGCTTGAGGACACTAACTGAAGAATACGCTAGGCCAACTCTCCCACCTACAAGTTCCCCTAATGTTGCAGCAAATCTTTTGTTTATTGTTGGTAGGCTACTTGTGTATTTTCCATCCCTAGAGACATCTCCAAACCGATTAAGAAGATTTTCACGAGGAATCCTGACTGAACGGAATCTCAGTGCTCCATTATCCACTCCGTTTAGACCAACCTTATGGCCACAATCATGTATTTCAATTCCTGGAAGAGTTTCGTTGGTCTTCAAATCCCTTATTGGCACAATGAAAGCATGGACCCCCATGTCCGAAACTCCTTTTACATTATGAGTCGGCAACATCAGCTTCGCAAAAACAGTTGCAAGCTTTCCATGAACAGCGGCATTACCAATCCACCATTTGATCGCCCCATCATTTGGTGTGTTGATTATAAATTCATCAGTGATAGGATCAAATGTTGCTGTTGTTTGGAGGCCTTGAACATTTGATCCTTTCATCCATACAAAAAAAAAAAAAAGAAAAAGAAAAAAGAAAAAAAGGAATGAGATAAAATAATATCTATAGAAAAACAGTTTTAAAATCTAAAAGAACCTAACAAGGTATAGAACAATGAAATAACTATAAGCAAAATAGCGGGCAACTGCTATCAAGCATTCATCCTTTATTATATTGCAAAAGCCAAAGTCAGTCAATAAAGGCCTTGAGCTGGGATATATTCTCTGCTAGAAAATGAAACTCATACAGACAAAATAAAAGATACTAGAGATGCCAGACCACTAAAAATTTTTAAAGTCTGAATAACATAGAAAAAGCAAAGAAACAAATAAGCAAAGAATAGTTGAGTTTACCATGATGGAGTTCAGTCATAGCAAAACAACCCGGATACTCTAAATTATCAATTCCATCAAAGTACTTATCCTTGTGTTTCTTGGTTCCTAAATTGATCACAGAGCCTCCCCAAAGACTGCCATTTTGTTTTCAAAAAAGCACCAAAGATTAAGCGCAAAGATAATAATCAGAATTGCAAAGATAATACAGCTTAAGCATCAATGGAGAGAAACACCAAATAATTCTGAAAACGTGAGAAACAAACAATCATTACCATTCACTTGTCAATCTTTTCTAAATTAATCAAAACTTCCTTCAACCGCACACCAAAAATTAGTATTGTATGAGATCTTAGCAAAAAATTATGTTTGGTTGCTGTACCTTGTTGGCACTAGCCATATCTTCAATTAACTTGTATGCTCAATAATAAAATTTTGGAAACATAAATCATTAAGAAAATAAAAGAAGAAAAAGTAGTACTACGAAATTTCTCGAATAAGCATGTTACTGTACTTGTCTTTCATTAAAAAACTTTTCAAGAGCATTCTTGAATTCTATAATTTACTTCTGATCTTGCCAAGCATCAAACTTGAGAGCATCTTACTATTTATAATCACGCAAATTAAAGTCTTTTTCTTCGATAAGTAAGCGTCTCATAACAAACAAAGCAACTAAACGCTACTATTGCAAACCATACGTGTTTGTTCATCTGTTTGCAAACTCACGGTGGGCCTTACTAGTCCACTGTCTTTCTTTAATCATTGTAGCAGTTGCCAGTAAGCGCAATTGATAGACATCGGATAGAAATGTTCAGAAAACTAATAACACCCACCTAACTTCAAACTGAAAAATCTACCCCTCCCAAAACAACAAAATATATTTTTAGACCCACTAATTATATTAATAAGAATTTACCCTACCAGTTGGGCTTTGCAAACAGAATTATCGCATACGAATCAGATTCAAAGTTTATTATTTTTTTGAATACCTTTTTATTTTTATTCTGATGTAATTTAGAATCATGTATTCCTGTAAGTATTCCTGCAGTAGCAAGCTCTTATGTTAAGATTACACTCAAAATATGCCACTCCTAACTGACAAAGAAAAGAAAAAAAAAAAAAAAAGAAAGAAAAGAAAGAAAATCGGACCCACTAATTATATTAAAGGTACACTTTACTTTTTCTCTCCCCAAATTATAAAAATATAAATATAAATATAAAAAAGTTTTGGACCCACTAATTATATTAAAGGCGCCCACAACATAAATACCTACCTCCCCTTCATTCTCTCAGAATCAGATGAAGCAGAAGCTTTCGGAACCGGAACAAAAACCAATGTAAACCTATTCATCAACCTTCACCAGTCAAATTAATTTAAGACCCGTTTGTTCTGTACACTCAAATTTAAGTTATTAATTCTGTTATAATATTTTTATTTCATAAAAAATTTAAATATTAAAATTAAGAATCTTAATTTTGAGTACACCTTTTTAAACGGTCTTAAAATCTCGTCAATTTAAAGCCCTTATTGCTTCAACTTCTTTAATTCAAAAACCCAAACCCCTATCACAACCTTCCGATTGCAATGAAAATTCCTGTTTTCAACACGTATCCAAACACAGAATCTGTTCATATTTACACTTTAATTGCATAAATAAACGCGGGCTCAAATTGCAATTTAAACCACACAAAAAGGTTCAAATCGCTTCAATTCGAACCGCGGAGCCTAAATTCCCCAAACACAATGCCCTAAAAAGCCATAAATCACACCTATTGACCACTCGTTTGTTTCATGACTTCGAATTACTGTCGAAACATTTTTGCTATAATGTTTTTCGTCACAAAATTTAAATTTCCGTTGGAAATTTTTCTCTTCAAATCAATTAATCAAACGGGCCCTGAGAAACTTCAAAACAAAAAAAAGGATTAAGATCATCACCTGTACTGAACCCCGGTCTTAATCCCGAGAGACAGGTCGACGCTCCCGACGGCCTCGAGAAACGCAAAGTACTTGGCCGGGTCTTCGAGCAAGTAGCGGAAGGGCCTGATCCCGGCCTCCCTGACAAGGCCGTGGAGCTGCCTCATACAGAGCTCCCGGTGATCGTCCTTCGAGATCTCGATCGGCGTCTGCAGCTCCGGCCTCGCGCTGAAATACTCGAAAACTCGCTGCTGAATGTCCCTGTGCTTGCCTCTCATGTACTCCGACAGCGCCGCCGTCTCCACGCTCAGCCTCGGCACCCCCCTGACGCATTCCACCATTCGGAGCTGCTCTCCGGCACCGGAGAGGAGAGCCATTCCTCGGCCAGGGGAGAGGTGGAGCGCAAGCCGTTCGATTCGCCGAGCGATCGGCTGGAATTGGTCCTCGGCCGTGCGATCTTGATCGGGGGTTTGCATTATTTTTAGAGAGAGAGAGATGACGGTGAGGATTTGAAGGAAGGTGGTGGGAGATTTGGATACGGAAATACGCTTTTTAAGCTTGAATTGACACATGCCATAAGACTTAAATTATTACAAGAATCTCATAGCTAAAAATATTTAAAAGTCTTCGTAAAAATTATAAATATATACATGAAAAATCACAAAATTCTCATAAAAACGAACGATATTGAATCAAATATATAAAATATTACGTGAAAAAATGTGACGGACACATAGACGAATGATAATACGACACGTGCCTTTGACTATTCTCCGCCAAGCAACAATCCTCGACGTCCACGGCTCCCTCCTATTTCGCTGGAAAGCCCAGAGCATGAAGTCCAAATTAGGGCGACAATTCCTTCTGGCGTCGACAGATCGCGCCGTCGAGATTAAGGCACGAAGATCCCTCGACCGCAGAAAGGACCGCCAAAGAGGGCGATTGGGCTAAGCAGAGCTGACGACGAGGGGAACGTTCTTTAGAGGACGTGACAGGTTGCGTGCAAAAGTGGAAGACGTCTGCAGGCATTAATTGCAAGCTCTCAAACCGCCTCACAGGGGACAGTAAAGTATTATGGAGGAGCACAGAGCCGTAATAGGAGACTAATTGGCTGAGTGAACAGTGCTGATTAGTGGGCTACGTCTGGGCCTACCAAAGAAGAGCACTTGAGTGCTTCCACCTATGAAGAAAACCCCCTAAGCGAAGGAAGCCCAGTATAAAAGGAGGAAGACCCCCAATAAGGAAGGGGTTGAGAGATTCCAGCAAAGAGAAAAAAGATTTAATGAGAGCAATTGTCGTAAATTGTTACCTTCTCAAAAGAAATACAAAATCACAGTGGATGTAGCTCTCATTTTATAAAGTGAACCACTATAAAATTCCTTATGTTGTTTGTCTATGCATGATTTGGTTAACACACAAACACATATATTCAACAAATCCTCACACGTTCACTACACACAGGCCGGTAATCCAAAGGGAAACCAAGAGGTAACCCGGCCGGTTTTTGTTGACGAAATTTGACCATCAACAATTGGCGACTCCACTGGGGAGCGAAAGCGTTCGACCCCCAACAACATAGTTAGCAAACACGCCTCCTAGATAGACGGACGGGATGGAAGGAGATCTACGCCCGATCGGAGATGAAGCCCCCCCCTGGGCGCGCCACGGCCGGATCCTGCGCAGATGCAGGCCCAACTGACCACTCTCACTGAACTGGTACGTGGGTTGATGACTGTGGTTGAACGCTTAGATGGAAGGAACTCCATGCCACCATTAGAAGACACCCTAAGGCCGCAGAGACCTGCCATGGCAGAAAATCTGAACCACGGTGACCACCCACATATCCAAGAGGGAACCGGAGATAGTGAGAATCACCGGGGGCCTCCTAGGCCTCGGCCTTCCCAATCCTCTGGCAGTCGTTTGGGGGCCGCCGGACTCTGAGCTCCCGAGGACCGGGTACCGAGAGGTCCAGGAAACCCCGAGGTACTATCTCAGAATCCAGGTGGAAACCCGCCAGGAGACTCAAGATCAGTATAGGCAGGCGGCCAGGCCCGAGGCGGACCCAACGCTCAGAGGGCAGAGGCGTCGAGAGTAGCAGGCTCGGCCATTTCAACAGAAGAAGCACGCGCCATCATGGAACGTATGGCCAGCCTGGAGCAAAAATTGACGGGGGACGTGGCGGGCCTAAAAAAGAATATAGGTCGTGTGGCTGAGGTGGTAAACGTCGATATCACACCCAGCCACACACATGACCATCCATTTACCGAATGGAGAACCAGCGCCCAGAGGATCGACACCGAGAGGAGAACCAGCGCCCAGAGGATCATGAACCCGTCGGCGTCATACGGACTGTCCTCGGCGGTCCTTATATAGGAGGAGACTCAAGTAGGTCTCAGAAGGACTACACCCACGAGGCCAGGGGGTTTATCAGGAGCGATTCTGGAGCGTCTCCACTGCAAAAACCCCAAGGTACAGTCACACCAACGTGGCCTTTAACGAAGATGACGCCAGTGGGGTTCATTTCCCCCACAACGACGCCTTGGTGGTGGAAGCCATGATAGGAAACCACACCGTGTGCAGAATCCTGGTGGACAATGGGAGCTCGGTGGACCTCCTATACTCCGACTGTATGGAGAAAATGGGGATCCAAAAGGAACAATTGGAAAAAACCTCCAGGCCACTATATGGTTTCACTGGGGACTCCGTCATCCCCTAGTGGACCATCCGGTTGCCTATAACCGCCGGAGAAAAACCCCAACAGGCTACCACAATGGCCAACTTTATGGTTATAAAAGGAGGCTCCCAATACAACGCCGTGATTGGAAGACCAACCCTTTAGGCGCTAAGGGCCATAATTTCCGTTTACCACCAAAAGGTCAAGTTCCCTACCCCAAATGGCGTGGGCGAAATGAAGAGCAACCAGTATGAAGCTAGGGTTGCATACTCTGACGCCCTGTGCGGATATGACTAGCCAGGAAGACAGGAGGCAAGGATGGTTCACTAGAGCCTCGTCGAGGACATAGACCTCAGGATCCAAGAGGAAGTCACATGGTCTCAACCCGTCGAGCAGTTGGTGGAGATCCAAGTTGATGAAGGCGAGTCCACCAAAGTGCTAAAAATGGGCTCGGGCTTAGCCCCATCACTTAAGGTTGAGATCGAAAACTTCCTTAGGAAGAACTTAGATGTCTTCACCTGGAATCATTTCGACATGGAGGGGATCGACGCCGAGGTAATATGTCACTCCCTAAACGTCGACCTCTTATATCCGCCCAAGCACTAGAAACGTCGACCGATGAACCCCGAGAAGTATGAAGCGCTGAAAGAAGAAGTCGACAAGCTGATCAATAATGGGTTCATCAGGGAGGCCCATCACCCACGTTGGGTATCAAACCCCGTTCTAGTGGTTAAGCCCAACGGGAACTAGAGGACATGCGTCGACTTCAGCGATCTCAACAAAGCCTGCCCAAAGGATGGCTTTCCACTCCCTCGAATAGACCAAATGGTCGACGCCACGGCGGGACATGAGATGCTGAGCTTTATGGACGCCTACTCCGGATACAACCAGATCCCCATGCATCCAGCCGACGAGGAGCACACATCCTTCATAACCGACAGGGGCCTCTACTGCTATAAGGTGAGGGGCTACCTACCAGAGGCTTGTGAATAAAATGTTCGCTCAACAGCTCGGCAAAACGGTGGAGGTCTACGTCGACGATATGCTTATAAAAAGCACCAGGACCAGCCATCACGTCAATCATCTGGGGGAAATGTTTGGTGTGTTTAGAAAATACCACATGAAACTCAATCCCCAGAAATGTGCCTTTGGAGTTGGGTCGGGAAAATTCCTCAGTTTTATGGTCAGCAACCATGGGATTGAAGCTAACCCCGAGAAAATCAAAGCCCTACAGGATATGCGGTCCCCAACAAAGCCAAAAGAAGTGCAAAGATTAACGGGATGTGTCGCCGCCCTAAACAAGTTCATATCAAAAGCAACCGACAAATGCGTCCCCTTCTTCGATGCTTTGAAAGGAAGCAAGCGCTTTGAGTGGACACCACAATGTGAAGAGGCCTTCCAGAAATTGAAAGAGCATTTGGGCAAGCCCTTAATTTTGTCAAAACCAAACGTCGACGAGGAGCTTAGCCTATACCTCTTCGTGTCCCAACACGCCGTAAGCTCCGTATTAGTAAGAGAAGAAGAGATGGTGCAATTGCCGATCTACTATGTGAGCAAAAGGCTCCTCGACGCCGAGTCGAGATACAGCGAAATGGAGCGCCTAGCCCTCGCCCTGATGATAGCTTCAAAGAAGATTCGGCACTATTTCCAATCTCACACAATACGGGTTCTCACAAACCACCCGCTGAGACAGGCTCTACAAAAGCCCGAAACTTTCGGTCAACTCCTCAAATGGTCGGTAGAATTAAGCTAGTTCGACATAAAATATGTGCCAAGAATTGCAATCAAGGGCCAAGCGCTCGCTGATTTTCTAGTCGAGTTTTCTCACAGACCAGCTCTCGCCGCATCTGGAAAAGTCGATGTTACAAAATGGGAGCTCTACGTGGATGGGGCGTCGAGCGAAAACGGGTCAGGAGCCGGCGTCTTGTTAATCAGCCCCGAAGGCCACAAGATTACCTCGGCGGTTCGATTTAAATTCAAGACATCGAACAATGAGGCGGAATATGAAGCACTAATTGCCAGACTACGGTTAGCCGGCCACCTGAAGATCGAAAGGCTCAGCGTCTTCAGCGATTCTCAATTGGTCGTCGCGCAAGTAAAAGAAGAGTACCAAGCGCACGGCGAGAAGATGGGAGCGTACTTAAGAAATGTAAAGGAAGAACTCGTTAAGTTCAAAAACTACGAAATACTTCAGATACCACGGGCCGAAAACGCGAACGCCGACACCCTGGCAAAACTAGCATCTTCAAGAGATTCTGACACCCTGGGGGTCGTTCCCATCGAAGAATTGGAGTGGCCGACCATTGAAGAACAAGCTAAGGCATTAATCGTCCAAGCATGTGGAAATTGGATGACACCGCTCATCCAATACCTAATGGACGCACAACTGCCAGATAATAAAGATGAAGCCAGACGGATCAGGTATAGAGCTGCTAGGTACTTATTGTACGACGACTTGCTCTACCGACGAGGCTATTCAACACCTCTACAGCGGTGTCTAGGTGATGCCAAAGCCCAGAAGGTCCTCCAAGAAATCCATGAAGGAGTCTGTGGTAACCATACTGGGGGACAGTCTCTGGCTCTAAAGGTTTTGAGGCAAGAATACTACTGGCCCACGCTCAAAAAGGATGCTTTTTAATATGCCCGACGTTGCGATAAATGCCAAAGGTATGCCACAATTCCTAAAGCACCCCCAGAAAATTTAACTTTCATTCTCAGTCCATGGCCCTTCGCCAAATGGGGGGTTGACCTGATCGGGCTATTACATCTTGCACCCGGAGAATTTAAGTTTGCAATCGATGCGGTAGACTACTACACGAAGTGGGCAGAGGCAAAGGCTCTAACTACAACCACGGAAGCAGCCTGCACCAAATTCATGTGGGACCACATCGTATGCAGGTTCGGGGTTCCCCACTTAATAGTATCCGACAACGGAAAGCAGTTCGACAACGCCTCAACACGCAGATTCTGTGATAGCTTAGGCATCCGGAAAGACTTCTCGGCACCGATCCATCCACAATCAAATGGACAAGTTAAGGCGGTCAATAAAATATTAAAGTATACCCTCAAAAAGAGACTTGACGATCTGAAAGGGAAATGGGCTGAGGAACTTCCCAAGGTCTTATGGGCATACAGAACGACGAGCCGAACTACTACAGGTGAAACACCCTTCTTCATGGCGTATGGCGTCGAGGCAGTGCTCCCCGTAAAAATCGAAACGCCGACTCTAAGAACTGTCATCCATAACGACGATGACAACGCGAAAGGCATGAACGGAGAACTCGACTTGTTAGAAGAAAAAAGGCTCGACTCCCAACTACGTCTCGCCGTCTATCAGTAAAGAACATCGTGATACTACAATAAGAAAGTTCGGCAGAGAAGGTTCATCCCAGGAGACCTAGTATTAAAAAAGGTAACGCAGAGCACGAAACCCAAAAATACTGGTCCACTGGGCCCAACTTAGGAAGGGCCCTACCGCATAAGGGAAGTGCTACGCCCCGGCACCTACATTTTGGAGAGCCTCGACGGCAAAAGGATTCAACACCCGTGGAATGCAGAACAGTTAAGGCTGTACTACCAATAGTGTATGAAATTCTTACATATCTCAATTGTACATTCTTTACAATTTGAATAAATTGATATGTTTGCAGAAAGAAAAGAATTCACCCCTTAATAACATGTCTGCTTAAAAAACTAAGGTTATATTAAACAGACATGGGGGGACAGAGGTCCACAGATCATTACAAAATGACACGACGGTCCCAAGGGGTGCAATCGACGTCAGATCCTCCAAGGAGGAAACACGAGGACTTAACAAAATTCCAAGGAATTTTCTAAGACGACGACCCCAAGGGGTGCAATCGACGTCAAATCCTCCAAGGAGGAAAAATGAGGACCTAGCAAAATTCCAAGGAATTTTCTAAGACGACGACCCCAAGGGGTACAATCGACGTCAGATCCTCCAAGGAGGAAAGACGAGGACTTAGCAAAATTCCAAGGAATTTTCTAAGACGATGACCCGAAGGGGTACAATCGACTTCAGATCCTCCAAGGAGGAAAGGCAAAGACTTAGTAAAATTCTAAGAAATTTTCTAAGAAAACAGCAATTGCAAATCAAGGTATAAATTAAATCTGTTATCTTTTATTTATAAAGTGCAGATAAAATAAAAGATGTCCGAATCAACAATAAGTTACAAGCAAAAGAGAGACAGGTAAAAATCATTTCAGGCCTCGCCACCAGCCGCCGATTCTTCACCATCACCAGGCGGGGAAACGTTGTCGTCGCCAGCAGGAGGAGGAGAGTTATAAAGGAAGCTCAAGTCCCACTCAGGACGCTCCTTCTTGATCAGGTCGACAATTTGTTGACCCGCAGATTGAAAATCCCTGGTGCGGATGTCAGTAAGCTCCGAAGAAGCCTTGAACTCCTCAATAATCTCAGTGCGCCTAGCGTCGAAGGCAAATGCAGCTTCTGCCTCGGCTTCCCTCTTCCCCTCAGTCTTCCCCTCAGCAAAACGCTTCTCCGCTTCCCCAGCTGCTTCAGACAATTTTTTATCGGACAGGTCTGCCCGCTTCGTGAGACTCTCAACCTCAGCCTTCAACTTTGCTAGTTCGTCTTCCAAACTTGCCAGCTTGGCCAAGGCCACGTCCCTCTTCTCGACAGCATCATCTAACTATTTTTTGGCGTCGGTAACAAAGGAGTTGAGCTTGGCTTCCATTTCGTCCATCGCCTTATCGTGCTCCTCAACCTTAACGAGGCCAATGAGGTTAAGGATGGAAAGGACCAGGCTCTGAAAAGTTGAAGGTCAGAAAAACAAAAATGCAGAACGACGAGAAAAAAAAAAAAAAAAAAAACTCTCAACAAAATCTTACGTGGATTTGGAAGGAAATCTGTTTTCGCTGACGGTTGACCAAGGAAGATTGGGCGGCAGCAACCCAGTGTGGCTCAAGAAAAGACTCATAAAGAGCCTAAAAAACAAGAGAGAAGCGAGGAGGAAGTTTTAGTATCGCCCTAATCTCGGCGTCAGATACATCCGGGACTTGAAACTTGGGATCCATGATTTTAGCCCCTGAAATAAGTACGCGTTCTCTCGACGCCAGGGGAATGTCGACGTCAGGAATAGGGATCGTCGACGTCCACGTCTCTGCCACTGGAATTTTATCCTTGCGCGTCTTTTTCCGCGCAGGATCCATCTCCGACCCCGAAGGGCCTTTGGTCTTCTTGCTCCTCGGCGCATGGGAAGAAGAGCTAGCCTTCTCATTTCCCTTCGACGGGGGCTGTTGGTCCGACGGCGGCTGCTGGCTCAGCCCAGATTGCTGGCTGCCAGGAAGTTGAATTCTCAGTGACGCCATCTCTGTGGAAACGACGAGACAAAGATATGATCAGCGTTTGAAAAACAAGAACCGTAATGAGGGAAGGCGTCGAAAGCAGGAATTACCCTCGTCGCTTAGGTGGAAGTATGCGCGAACGACGTCTAGGTCTGAAGGGTTGGGAAGATCAATGATTAAACCGGCGGCGTGAAGGTTGGCCTCGGTCAGAAGCGTTTCGATATGGCGAACCTCTGACAAAAATGAGAAAGCCTTCTTAATCCTCGCCAAACTGTTGCCAGAAAACTTCGGCCGGTCCTGGTTAACTGAAGGATAAAAGATTATCAGCATATGAACAAAAAGCAAAGTCAGATAAAAGAAAGTCAAGAGGCTTACCCATATTCCCAGACGCCGCCTGCACCTGCCTTCGATGGGGCAGGCGGTCGTTGGGATGAAAGTTGAAAGGCCCCCGAATAATGAAGAACATAGGCTTCCACCTGTGTGACGACGAGGGAATACCCAGTATAAGCTTCCCAAATCTGGGCTGAGACCTCCCGTGACCACTCAAAAAATACCACCCCTCACACTTGGCGACGTGGCATAGCTTATACATAAATCGGAACTCATCCAAAGGGAGTTCCATATCGAATTGCTGGTGCCATAAAATTCAGGCACCGGCAAAGCAGTACCATAAGTTCGGCGCCAGCTGAGCGGGGGAAATGCCATAAAAATGGCAGTAGTCCTTTACAAAGGGATGAACTGGGAGGGTCATCCCCGCCGTAACCACTCTAGTATAGACCGGAAGGTATCCAGTCGGCGGCATGCTGGTTCTAAAATGCATGTCCGGGAGAAGGTATTCGAACCACCTCCCGTCGATGCATCATTCCTTCACAGCCCGGATGATATCTTTGTTTCGGACCCTTGATGCCACAACGTCGGCTATAAAGAAAGGCCTATCCGGGCCACCACTCGTGGCAGCTAGGGGGCATCTACCATCGCGGCAGCCACCCCGCCTACTCTGCCCCCCGTGAAGGGGATCCGCTCAACTATCTCGTCCAAAAACCGTTCGACGCTACCGAATTCGCTTCCGAAGTCGTCGCCCGGTTCATATCTTTCTTCGACATCTTTAATGTCCCTCAGCACGGAGTCGACGCTGGAACACGAAGAAGACCATGAGATCTCCACCACAGAAGGGGGGTCTGGACGGACGACAGGAGAATCCTCTCGACTGAGGGAACTTTGAGCCATTGTTCTGGTGATTAAAAAGATAAGAAGCTAAGTTAAAACCCTAACGTCGAGAGGAAGAAAGGAAGGCTATTCTAAGCGACGACTACTCAAACGCCTCGACTTGACGTCGACCATTCATTATGAGAATGGTAACGGCAAGTGCTCATAGAATTCCAGGTTCCCCAGAACCCAGAAACCAGAAGCGCACAGACAACAAAAAGATGGGGACAGAACTATCCAATGCGGAAAAACAAAACGGAGTAAGTCTCCCTAACTTCTACATTCTGCGTATTTTTTATATATATACACATGGTTCAAACAAAAAGCAGAGGAGGAGCCCGTGAGTAAGAAAAGCAGACAGAGGGTGCAAAGGCTTACCGATGAAGAAGGATTCCCGGGAAAGTCTTGAAGTAAGAACGGCTTCGCGATACGCCTCGAAGAGCAAGAAGCACTAACCGGAGGTTGGAGAGGAAGGATTCCGGCGAAGAAGGCAGCAGTCCAACAAGTGCGAAGAGGGTTTGAAGTTTTGAAAAAATGGCTCTCGAGTTCGTAAAGGGTATTTAACGGAACGGACATCCTTGACCCTGACCGTTGGATGAAGATTTTAAAATCCAACGGCAAGGGAATCCTGCCCGGATCTGACGGTGATAAAATAGGGCGGGAAACGGAGAGGTCGCGATCCAAGGGTCCATATTCGTCCTTTCAAAATAAGGCCGTACATCATCATGAGGAACCAATCGACGCGATAGTTGCGTATCTCGAAGGAAATCTGAAGCGCCCAGGCCATCATTGCGAACGAAGGCTCGGGACCGGTTTCCCACACCCAAAGCACGGAACGACAACCGAACCTAAGCTCGAGGCCGCCTAAAAGGAGCCCTCAACCTGGGGGTAGCTGTTGTGTGGAAAAATGTGACGGACACATGGATGAACAATAATGCGACACGTGCCCTTGACTACTCTCCGCCAAGCAACAACCCTCGACGTCCACGGCTCCCTCCTATTCCGCTGGAAAGCCCAAAGCACGAAGTCCAAATTAGGGCGACGATTCCTTCTGGCGTCGACAGATCGCGCCGTCGAGATTAAGGCACGAAGATCCCTCGACCGCAGAAAGGACGGCCAAAGAGGGCGATTGGGCTAAACAACGCTGACGACGACGGGAACGTTCTTTAGATGACGTGACGGGTTGCGTGCAAAAGTGGAAGACGTCTGCAGGCATTAATTGCAAGCTCTCAAACCGCCCCACAGGGGACAGGAAAGTATTACGGAGGAGCACAGAGCCATAATAGGAGACTAATTGGCTGAGTGAACAGTGCTGATTAGTAGGCTACGTCTGGGCCTACCAAGGAAGAGCACTTGAGTGCTTCCACCTATGAAGAAAACCCCCTAAGCGAAGGAAGCCCAGTATAAAAGGAGGAAGACCCCCAGTAAGGAAAGGGTTGAGAGATTCCAGCAAAGAGAAAAAAGATTTAATGAGAGCAATTGTCGTAAATTGTTACCTTCTCAAAAGAAATACAAAATCACAGTGGATGTAGCTCTCATTTTATAGAGTGAACCACTATAAAATTTCTTGTGTTGTTTGTCTATGCATGATTTGGTTAACACACAAACACATATATTCAACAAATTCTCACACGTTCACTACACACAGGCCGGTAATCCAAAGGGAAATCAAGAGGTCACCCGGCCAATTTTTGTTGACGAAATTTGACCGTCAACACAAAAGTACAAGCATATTTGTTTAGTATATAAAATTTTAATGATGTTAGTGTGGTATATTTTATAATAGTTTTAATATTCATGACAAAAGTCAATCCTATTAGTTTTGAAAACGATTTTTTATGTGGAAGTGTGTATTTAACAGATCGTGTATAACAAAAATTTTAATAAACTTTTCAGATACATTATAAAATACATTAATTTATGTATGAATTAATTTAGTTCAAAAATCAGTTATTTACTGCATATTTTAGTGGACCTGAATGTTGGTTCTGTATAGCTTTAGGCCTATAAAATGGAGCATAAAGGCCGGACACTTATTTAGGCCCAGCATCTCCGATGGCCGGCCCATTCTGTGTACGATGACATCCCCTGCGCACCATTTTGCACTTTTCTTTCCTTTCTTCTGTTGGAGCTCCACTGAGGTTCCGGCGAATCAGCACCGAAAACCGGCATTTTACTATAAAAAAAATTGCTTATCTTTTGTGGAAAAAGTATTTTCTCTAAGTTTGTGATTCTCATTTTACTTCTTTTAGCTTTTAGTTCCCCAACTTCTCGGCGTAAACATCAAATGTGAGGTACACTTTCTTCTCCGATTTGGGTTTCGTTAGTTTCATGGTTTTTGTGTTTTCTTGAATGCTCAAAAACACATACTTAAAGTGATCGAACAACACATGCATGAACTGAAATGCGAAAACAAATATTAAAGCTTACAAACATTGAAGAAATGTCTGTCTGTTGTCTGTCTGACTGTTATATAACTAATTTGGGTTTTCTGGTGTTGATATTTTCTGATTGTTTTATGGACTTTTTAACAGGTCCAATCACCATTTGATGAAATTTCTATGATGGGTATTTAAGTTTTCTTTGTCTCAAGGTTTTTCTGATGAATTTCTTGTAAATCTCAGGCATATAGTTTTATGTTCTATTTTCAATTTCTTGCAAATTGTATGTTAAAAAAGTTTACTCTTAATATGTGGAAAAACAAACGGCGAAGATGCTTCAATTGACCCCCTTTATGTCTAACCTTAAAGCCTTTTATTCCTCAGCCAATGTTTTAAACAACCAAAATATTTACTCTCTTTAAGTTTATTCACTAATCACAGGTCAATGTGTAACCCTTTAGCTTAGCTGATATCATTACTTAAGGTTTTTGGCTTTCATTGCTATAGAGGGCTACATAATAAAAGGTCCATAAGTGACACGAACATTTGGTATGATTTTGACAGTACTAGATGGCTTTTAACTTGATCATAAACAGAATTGTGAGTTGTAACTATTTCCCTTCACGTTCGCTAGTTCTATAAAAGTCATATATTCATTGCTTATTGATAAGGTCTGGATTGTTTGAAAACAAGAACTATAGAGAACTAATAGTAGGATCGTAAGAATGAAAGAAAGAATCAAAGAAGGATTATATTGACAACAATATAATCCTGTCCAAGACTTGTTCAACTTTCTGTTTATTTCTCGATAACCGCCTTTCCCTCCTCTTCCCCCTTTTATACAATTTCCCTCTAACAAACAAACTTCCCCCGTAAGCTAACTAAAACTAATACTTCTAATTAAGCCACTAATACCGTACTTCCACAGCCAACTAAAGACACTTTCCCTGCCTAGACCCGTTTATTCCTCCTAACATACACTTGCCTGAGTAAGGGCTTATCAATTACAAACACCCCCCCCAAAAAAAAAAAAAAACGTTACCTTGTCCTCAAGGTGAAAAGCAGGAAACTGGCGCTGAATCACATCAAACAGCTCCCAAGAAGATTCAAAGTCCAGAAGGTGGCGCCACTTGATCAAAACCTCCAAAGACCCAGTGGCAGGGGAAAAACGAGTATCCAAGACTTGAGCAGGTTCCACTTGCAACGTCAAATCTTCTGATAAGATTGGTGGTAAAGATTGAGGGATATCCTCCGGCCCGAGCGCCTTCTTCAAGCGGGACACATGAAAGACGGAATGAATCCGAGCATGAGAAGGAAGGAGCAACCGGTACGCCACTGGTCCAACTTGAGCAAGGATCTGAAACGGCCCATAATAGCGAGGGGCAAACTTTTCATTCCGCACTTGCGCCAACGCTCGGTGACGATACGGCTGGAGCTTCAAATAAACCATGTCTCCTACCTCAAATTCCATGGAACGACACTTCCTGTTTGCATGGTCTCGCATAGACTGTTGGGCGCGTCCCAGATGGTCCTTCAATTCTGTCAATAGTGCATCACGGTCGCATAGATGCCTCTCCAACTCCGACGTGGCTATAGAACCGGCCTCATACGGCACCAACTGGGGAGGATCCCGACCATAGAGAGCTTTGAAAGGCGTCATGGCAGCCAAGACATGGAAGCTCGTATTGTACTAATACTCCGCCCACGAAAGATGTGTGAACCACTGCCTAGGTTGGCCAGAGACAAAACAACGCAAATAAGCCTCCAAACAGCGGTTTACGACCTCCGTTAGGCCATCCGTCTGAGGATGATACACCGTACTCTGGCACAAGATAGTGCCCTGCAACCTGAAAAGTTCCTTCCAAAAATGGCTCATAAAAACCTTATCCCGGTCGGAGATGATGCTCTGTGAAAACCCATGCAGGCGCACGATGTCACGGACAAAAACAACAGCCACGGTATTGGCTGAAAACGGGTGTTTAAGGCCAATGAAATGGCCGTACTTACTGAGGCGATCAACGACAACCAAAATGGAATTATAACCTGCAGATCTCGGTAATCCCTCAATAAAGTCCATGGATATATCATCCCAAACCCGGTTGGGTATAGGCAAGGGCTGCAACAATCCCGCCGGTGACAGATTCGACGTCTTATGTTGCTGACAAACGGCACAAGCAGCCACAAAAGTCTCAACATCTTTGCGCATACCCTTCCAGAAAAATTCCAATGCCAGCTGTTTATAAGTCTTTAAGACTCCTGAATGCCCGCCTATCTTACTACTATGAAACTCACGTAACAAGATTGGAATTAGTGGAGATTTTGGAGGAACGACCAACCTTCCCTTGTAAAGTAAATGCCCCCTTTGAAGAGTAAACCCCGTCAAAGAGTGCGTTCCAACCAGCAACCCCTCCACGGTTTTGTTGAGATCCGGATCTGCCTTAACCTGCCGTTGCAACTCCTCAATATCGAGCACCATTGGAGTAGTCATGACCATAAAAGCCAGCCCCGCTTGTTGTCTCGAAAGGGTGTCAGCCACCCTGTTTTTTGGCCCTGGTTTGTACTGTATCTCGAAATCATAGCCAAGCAATTTACACAGCCACCGCTGGTGCTCCACACTCACCAAGCACTGTTCCACTAAGAACTTCAACTTTTTTGATCGGTGCGCACCAAAAATCGCCTTCCCAACAAATAAGGTCGCCATTTCTAAATGGCTAGCACAATAGCCATTAGCTCCCGCTCATAGACCGATTTGGCGCGAGCACGCGCCGAGAGGACTTGGCTAAATTAAGCGATGGGCCGCTGCTGTTGCATCAAAACCGCTCCTAGCCCAAACCCCGAAGCGTCTGATTCCACCACAAAAGGTTGAGAAAAATCTGGCAAAGCCAACACTGGAATCTCAGTCATAGCTTTTTTTAAGCACTGAAAAGCCTCCTCAGCCTCCGAATTCCAATTAAAGGCGTCCTTAAATTGTTGCATCAATGGCCACGCAATACGCCCATACCCGGCCACGAACCGACGGTAGTACCCCGTTAGGCCCAATAATCCCCGCAACTCCTTAATGGACCGTGGAGGTGACCAATCTAACATGACCTGTATCTTACTGGGATCCGCAGCCACTCCAGTCCGAGAAACCACATGACCCAAATATTCCAATTGTTCCTGAGCAAAAAGGCATTTTTTCTTGTTGACGTACAATTGGTTGGCCCTCAAAACTGACAGTTTCCTGTCCAAGTGCTCCATATGGTCCTCCCAGGAGCGGCTGTAAATCAGAATATCATCAAAGAAGACCAACACAAATCGGTGTAAGAACGGCTTAAGTACCTCATTCATCAAGGACTGAAAAGTCGCTGGTGCATTTGTCAATCCGAAGGGCATAACGAGGAATTCATAGTGTCCCTCCGGAGTTCGAAAAGCAGTCTTAGGAACATCCTCGATACACATGTGAATCTGGTGATACCCTGACTTCAAATCTAATTTGGTGAAAATGGTAGCACCGCACAATTTGTGTAACAACTCTTCTATCACAGGAGTTGGAAATTTATCCAGGACTGTGGCTTTGTTTAGCGCCCTATAATCGATACAAAATCTCCAACTACCATCCTTCTTCTTGACGAGTAAGACCGGACTGGAATATGGACTCACACTCGGTTGACTTATTCCAGCCGCCAACATCTCCCTCACTAACTTCTCTATTTCATTCTTTTGAAAATTGGGGTATCGGTATGGTCGGACACTAATCGGTCCGGTGCCATCCTCAAGGATTATACGGTGGTCCCTCACTCTATGAGGAGGTAAACCGGTTGGCATGTTGAGGACTGCCACATGTTTCTGCAACAATTCTTGTAACTGCCCTCTGCCTTCCTCTTCCATTCCGTGACCTTGCTCCTCCCCCAATTGTCTCATTTCCAAATAAATGCCCTGCCCCTCATGACGAATGGTGCGCATCATGGCCTTAAGGGAAATCAATGATCTCGTGAGACACATACTCCCTGAGCACTTTGAATCTCATAGTTTGAGTCTTCCAATTTACATTCATACTCCCTAAAGTCTCCAACCATTGCATTCCTAGAATTACATCTATCCCAACTCCAATGGCAAAAAATTCTCAATTATGGTTAAGTCCTGCATGGTCAATACCACCTCTTTACACAATCCCTGCCCCTGTACCGACTCCCCCGTACCCGTTTGAACACCAAAACTAGTTGTAGGAGTTATGGGCAGTTTTAGTTTTGTAACTAAGGTAAGAGAAATAAAATTGTGAGTAGCCCCAGAGTCGATCAAAACAATTACCTCACGATGGCCAACCTCCCCCTTTATCTTCATGGTTTTTGGTGTTGTCAGCCCCACAACGGAATTCAAGGATAACTCGATCACCTCAGTTCGCAGCAACTCCCCAGACTCCTCCTCTGCCTCGTCCGGCTCAATTTCCTCGTTTTCAATTTCATCCTCATCGCTAACCAACATAATCCGCAACTCCCTCTTCTTACAGCGATGTCCCACAGTAAACTTCTCATCACAACGAAAACATAGTCCCCTATTCCTCTTCTCCTGCCACTCCGAATCAGAAAGTTTCCGGAATGGAAAGTCTTTTTTCAGTCTCTCAACACTTGGGTTGCTGCCTAGAAACTGATTCGGTGTGGTTCCCGTTGGCGGGTTGGATGTGAATCTTGCTGCTTAGGGACGCCAACCCCGTGTTCCCCCATTCTCTCTTCGCAGCAACAGATTTTTTTCTTCAATTCGCTGCGCAACGTCCATGATTTCAGAGAGCCCCTCTGGCCGGAGTAGTCGCAGCTCAGCCCGAATATCAGCCTTCAAACCATTCACAAAGATGCCTTCCAGGATTTCCTCCAGAATATCCTGTAAAGGGGCAGTTGAAACCTCAAAATTCCAGCGATATTCAGCCACCGTCCCCATTTGCCTGAGCGCTAGGAACCGTTCACACAGATTTCCCTCTTGTGAAGAACGAAAGCGTTGCAGAAGAGCCACCTTGAAATCAGTCCAAGTAATGAAAGGCCGTCGCTGGTTCTGCCACTGAAACCATGATAACGCATCTCCCTCCAGTGCAATTCCAGCCGTCGTTAATTTCTCCCTCTCTGTGAACCTGTTGATCGAGAAAAACTGGTTCATCCTAAACAACCAGCCATCCGGATCAATGCCACTGAACAACGGGTAATCCAGTTGCTTCTGTCTTACTGGTGAGAAATCCTCACCTCCCCATATTTTCCCAAAAAATCCATAGATTCTTCGGCCTCGTTTTCTTCCCAATACCGTCTTCCTTCTCTTCCGGTATGTCCACCCACTCGACCCCCCTCAACACGACCATCTCCTCTCAACCTAGGACCCCCATTCAAGGTGTGAACTCCTCCTTCCCCTTCTCCATACCGTCCACCGCGACCGTCCTGAAGGTCTTCGGAAGACCCTCCCGCTCAGACTTCGCCGCGCCGCCAATCGTGGAGGCCTCGCTCTCCGTCGCCGGTCTCGCCAACCCTAGGTCGGCCATTCCGGCCATCGCAACCGAAATCGGAATGATTTCCGTTCGCGACTCGTGCCCTAGCTCGCACGTTCTCCTCTCCGGCGTGGTTTTCCCTGCCATCCATTTCCCGACGTTTCCCTTTTTCCTTTTCCCCAAAAACCCTAAGTTCGGCCATTTCTTCCATATGGCGGCCGTCCTCCTCCACGCGTTCCGCGACTTCACGAGCTAGTCTTTGGACCACTCCATTCTCGTCTTCCCGGACCCTTGTGATTCCTGATCGAGATCCCTCCGCCGGCAGATTCGCCGTCGCCGCCGCCAACAACAGACGCATCTGTTCCTCCATCAATCGGCGCAGGTATGAAACATTTTGGCTCATCTCGGCCATATTTTGGTTAATTTCCACCCTGCCTTGGCTTATTTCCGCCCTTACCTCGCCAATTTCCTTTTCCACCGAAGATTTAACTTGGTGAATCTCCCTCTCCATCGCTTCAAACCTCTCCTCTGTTTTTCTGGCAGCCATTATTGCCCAGAATAGAGCTCTGATACCAAATTGATAAGGTCTGGATTGTTTGAAAACAAGAACTATAGAGAACTAATAGTAGGATCGTAAGAATGAAAGAAAGAATCAAAGAAGGATTATATTGACAACAATCGCTATACACTGATTGGCAGAACTTCGAGGGTCTGCTTCCTCCCTTGCTTGGAATTGTTCCAAGACTTGTTCAACTTTCTGTTTATTTCCCGATAACCGCCTTTCCCTCCTCTTCCCCCCTTTATACAATTTCCCTCTAACAAACAAACTTCCCCCGTAAGCTAACTAAAACTAATACTTCTAATTAAGCCACTAATACCGTACTTCCACAGCCAACTAAAGACAAACTTCCCCTGCCTAGACCCGTTTATTCCTCCTAACATACACTTGCTTGAGTAAGGGCTTATCACTTATCTATTTTGCTTGATATCTGTTCTCCCATTAGGAGTTTCTTAGTTTAGTTGATCTGTTTTACTTTTTCGTTTCTTGTTGAGGGAGGCTTAACGAATGGACTTGTTTTATAGGACAAGTAGAATTTTGAAGTTGAAAGATGCCATCTCAAAGAAAAAGAAATCGTAAGCAAAAGAACCAGACACAACTTAATGAAGAGAATGATGGGGAGGTAGTCAGTGTCGATTGGGCAGGGCTTCCTAAGGGTATCCTTGAGATCATTTTCGAGCAACTATCTCTAATTGATTGTATCTCTGTTAGCAATGTTTGCAAGCCTTGGAGAAAAGTTTTTTCGCGGGAACTTTCTTGTTGGGAAAGGCTTGGCTTCCCGTCACTTTTGATGTCTGGTCAGAAAGATAGAGAGAAGAGAATTTGCATTAGCATGCTAGAGAAGCGAGCTTGGGAGATGGAGATGCCTGAGGCTCGTGGAAAATATTGTTGGGGATCATTTCAAGATTGGTTGATTCTAGTGGATGATGTAGAATGTTATTCCCTGAATATTAGCTTGTTAAATCCATTCACTAGAAGCAAAATCAACCTTCCAAGAACATGGGACTTTTACCACAAGATGGTCCTCTCAGGGCATCCCTGTCGAGAAAACTGTGTGTGCATGCTTGTACACAGTCAGCGTCAGGAGCTTGCCTTTTGGGTCCCAGGAGCTCAATCATGGCATGAATATAAACTCGTTGGCGACCCATTTGAGGATGCTATCTTTTGCAATGGAAGCTTCTATCTTTTGAGCAAGGATAACAGCATTTTCCAAATTGATACGGCTAGTGTTTCTGCCACCCTTAGAAGGGATGACTCTTCTGCTTCTGCTGTTGCTTCTGAATCTGAGATCAAAACTGAATTCCATAAAGTAATCATGCCGGAGTCGGAGAACCATGTAAACGATGGTGTCTTGAGGTATCTTGTGGAGTCTTGCGGCGAGATTTTGCTTGTCTGTAGGCATTTTAGTACTTTACCAGGTGCTGTACTTGAAACACGGAATTTCAAAGTCTATGTACTGGATATTGGCCAAATGTCTTGGAAAAGGGTTGAGAATTTGGGGGATCGAATACTATTTTTAGGTAAATGCAGTTCAAGATCGTTCTCTGCCGTGGAACTCGGGGTCGAGATAAGAAATTGCATCTATTTCTCCAATGATAATACTGCTCCTTGGTGGAATGAGTGGCATTCCATTCATCTTAAAGGAATGTCAGCTCGTCTCGGTTTGGATAATTCTGGCAGGAAACATTGGGGCACTTTCAGTCTTGGTAATAGAAACAATATACACTTCTGCTTCCGGGGCGATCGAGATAACTGGGGTCCTATCTGGTTCACCGCACCTCTATGGTGGTACTGTAACAATTTTCTTATCAACTGATAGTAATTTTGGCTCACGTACACTAATCTTCGCAGGGTATCTCTTGAAATAGAAGCCAATGCACTACTGCGCATTATTAGCCTGACTCGAAAAGGGGGAGCTTGTTTCAGATTCGGAGCTAAACTATGCCACCATGGACAAACAAGTTAGGCGTACGGGATAGTTGGTTTTGCACTTGGCATAGTTTGGCCCTTTATATTTTGAATTGGGATTTTAGAGCTCTCATTTTTTGAGGTTTTGCTTGTATAGGCTTAATCCAGATCCTTTGACTTTTGACTGTTTGCAGAATTTCTTATATTTTTCCTTGTCCCTTAATGTCTTCAGTTGTGTGTGTGTGTTCCATGTGTATGACCGGGAAAAAAAAAAAAAAAAAAAAAGGCGTAGCTCTTCTTCCCCTTTCCTTTTGGTGTGACGGAACTTGCACTACGTAGTTGTGGTAGTAAAGTCCGCAATAATAGGCTGAATTGACCTTTTTTGTGGACCAGAAGAACTATTTGCTATCTGTTGAATTAGAAGAATACTACTTTTAGAAAATTGACATTCGAATATATCAATTATGTGGTTAATTTTATATATAAAAGTTAACAAGAGTTGAAAGTGTTACTCAACTTAATTTACGCATGTTGTGATATGTTTGCAATGAATGTCAGTAGGGTCGTTCCGTCCTATTTCACAACTATCACCACAAGGGAGAGAACATTCATTTTACCGATTCGAGTTTAGAATTTGAATTTTTTACAGTAAAAAACTTAAATTTATATCAGTAAACTAAACGGGCCCTGAAAGTGTTAATAGGTTAGTCTTTCAAATGTTTTCCTTTTTTAAAGAAATCGAGTGGAAAGTCGATATTTTAACTTTATGTGTGGTTTACCGCTTGTTTTGCGGTTTAGAAAAGAGCATCAAGAGAGAATTTGCCAAAATCGATTGCTAATGACAAGATTGTCTGTTTCTAGCATTCATAAACATGGATTTTGTCATGAAACTTGCTTATGTTAATCAACGATTGAAAATAGATAATCGGAACGATTTTCCTTAACGACTCTCAAAGAAAAAGGATTGTTTCTTACGTCTTTGCTTCTTGTGTGTAATCTGTTTATCCTTGGCGATGCTCAAAGGCAAAAAAAGATGGCACACGACACACTAATTTCTCACTTCAAAAGTAGTTTTGCGGGGCCTCATGCTAAGGGCTTGCAATAAAACAGAATGGAATGGTTTGTCCTAGCTCTTTGGACCTCAAGTCTTTGCAAGTCCTTTCTCTTCAAATCACATATCTTATGAGTGAAAATTTCTATCTTTAAAAAAAAATAAATAAATAAAAAGTGTACGCTCCAATACAAAATATCTGACATTGCACAAACTGAATGTTGTAACAGAATAACAACATTATTCACATTATATGGCCAAAAGTAACTAAAAAAAAAGGCAAGAGAACAAAGGTATTGGCCCTATTAGGGGTCTCCCTCAAAACCCTTGGAACCCTCCCTTTTTAACATGGGAAATTATATGGTCCAACTGCCTTTTTTTTCTATATTTCCATACAAAAATTTCCTTTCTTTTTTTATTATTTTTCAAAAATGCCTCCTTTTGCTTGTATATAGAATTTTTTTTTTTTTTTTTTTTTTTTTTTTTTTCTTTCTTTCTTTCTTTCCTTTTTGTGGTGTGGAAGTTGCAACCCAAAAGATGATCCTTTTCAACCACCAACTTTTCCGGTGTCTACTCACCCATTGCATTTGTTTCCCGTCACATGGTCTTCAAAAATACAGCATATAAATATTAGACTCACCACCTAATATTATACAATTTATGGAATCTCTTTTATCTATGTTATTGAAAAAGAATTTATGGAACCTCTTTATCAAATAAAGGTCGGTGCTTGCTTAGCAATTTGAAGTCGCCACCAAGCAACCCCAACGTCAACATTTATCCACGTTGGATGGCTAGTATAACACATTTATGATAACAAGGTGTTTAGAAACTTATAACCATATATGGGTTTTTTCCTTTTTAAAGATATTTTTCTCTGCAATTCTACAATTCTTTTTTAATGGATTAGGTCTCGATTTGGTCAAACGATAATGCAGTTATGAACGGTCAACACGTTCACATTTATGTAGGGGTGGCAATTTATGTCACGTGTCGTGTTCATGTCGTATTTTGATCGTTTCTTTTTAAATTTGCAGTCAACCCGAACACGACCCGTGACACGAAATTTTTTAAAAACCGCAACACGAACACGACATGACCACTTTACGGGTTGACACGACACGACTCGAAAATGACCCGTGACACGAAATTGACCCGTGAACCCGAAATTGACACAAAAATTGTATATTTTTATTTAGTTTTTTACATATTAAAAATAACTTAAAATTCATAACACACTAAAATACAATAACATCCATTGAAATTAAACAAATAATATTATAAGATTTTGAGTATAACTATCATGATATCATAAGTTCATAATAAAATCAAAATATGTAATGAAAAATATATGTATTTTTTAGTTTTTTACGAGTTTTGTGTCGTGTTTGGGTTAGGCGGGTCCAACCCGAAATTGACCTATGTTTTTCGTGTCAATTTCAGGTCAACCCAATTCTGACCCGAACCTCTTTTTTCTCAACCCTAACCCGCGAAATTCGTATCGTTTTCGAGTCGTATTGTCGTGTCGTGATCCATATTACCGGCCCTACGTTTATGGTTCCCGAATCCACCTATTTTAATATATATATATATATGAAAGAGAATAAACTTTTGACTTGTTTGTCTAATAAATAAATTATTCAGTGAATTTCAATTTTTTCTTATTTTTCTTCACATGGTTGTTTTTCTTTTTTTTTTTTTAACTCAAAAAAGAGAATCTGATTCATGTCCTACGAGTTTTGTGTCGTGTTTGGGTTAGGCGGGTCCAACCCGAAATTGACCTATGTTTTTCGTGTCAATTTCAGGTCAACCCAATTCTGACCCGAACCTCTTTTTTCTCAACCCTAACCCGCGAAATTCGTATCGTTTTCGAGTCGTATTGTCGTGTCGTGATCCATATTACCGGCCCTACGTTTATGGTTCCCGAATCCACCTATTTTAATATATATATATATATGAAAGAGAATAAACTTTTGACTTGTTTGTCTAATAAATAAATTATTCAGTGGATTTCAATTTTTTCTTATTTTTCTTCACATGGTTGTTTTTCTTTTTTTTTTTTAACTCAAAAAAGAGAATCTGATTCATGTCCCTAAGTCTTTTCAGCTATAGTAAGTAATTTTGAGGACTACAGACTACGTAAAAAGGATTTAAATTAATCTCTCATTGATCATTCAATCAGTTTTTACTCATTTTTATTCTATGGGGCCCGAATAGACATACTTAATTTCTCATAAGCAAAACAGTAACACATGAGTACAAAATATCGAACCTTGAAAAGATAAAAAAATAATAATAATAATAAAAACATCCTTATCACTACACCACTGACTCTCAATATCACAGGTGTTTTTCTAATTCCTTTTTATTTATCAAGTCTTAACCATGGGCTCCGTTAACTTCTCTCTTATCCATTGTCAAGACCACAATAATAATAGAACTGTCTATGTACAATTATTGACTAGTATGGCACTCCTTACGAATAAAATAAAACTTTTTTTTAACCATCAATCAAATTTGAGGAGTTTTTCCTTTAATCTAATCTAATGCATTTAAAAAATCCATTGTTAGCACCAACACCAAACTTTATATTTTTTAAAAGGATTATTTTCATAATTATCTCTGAATCATGTACCTTATTTTAAAATGTCTCTTAATTTTTTAAAACAGTTCAAAACACCTTTTGATATATAAAAAACGACTTAAGATACCCCTTCCGTCTAACTCTGTCTATAATCTCTAACAGAATTACTGTAGCACTCATTTTAAAATAATACAACTTAATTAAGTTGAAAAAACTGAATTAATTACTAAAAATTATTAAAGCTTATTAAAGTCTCGTTCATTTTACCAATTTAAGTTTTATTATAGTAAAAAAACTCTCAGAAACAATCACATTTAACTTTTTTACTGCAGTAAAGAGTTCTCACATAAAATCGCATCTCAACTCAAATTAAAAACTCAAATTGGGCGAACTAAACGGAACCTAAAATTAGGGCCGGCAATATGGGTCATGACACGACGACACGACTCGAAAACGGCACGAATTTTACGGGTTAGGGTTGAAAAAAAAGTTGTTCGGATCAGAATTGGGTCGACCTAAAATTGACACGAAAAATATGGGTCAATTTCAGGTTGGACCCGCCTAACCCGAACACGACACGAAATTCGTAAAAAACTAAAAAATACACATATTTTTCATTTCATATTTTAAATTTTATTATGAACTTGTGATATCATGATAGTTATACTCAAAATCTTATACTATTATTTGCTTAATTTCAATAGATGTTATTGTAATTTAGTGTGTTATGAATTTTAAGTTATTTTTAATATGTAAAAAACTAAATAAAAGTATACAATTTTCGTGTCAATTTCGGGTTCACGAGTCAATTTCGTGTCATGGATCATTTTTGGGTCGTGTCGTGTCAATTCGTAAAGTGGTCGTATCATGTTCGTGTTACGGTTTTTAAAATATTCCGTGTTACGGGTCGTGTTCAGGTTAACTGTAAATTTAAAAAGAAACGATCAAAACACGACACGTGATATGAATTACCACTTCTACCGAAAACTTCTTAAATCAGTTTTTACGAGAACTCACTGAACAATGACGAACCAAACTCCCTCTTTTTCTAGGGATCTTTGCTCAGAGGCCGGTCCCTCTATGGCAACTTCTTCACCTTCCCTCAACTTCTCTCTCTAAGATTCAGCTTGTTGATTAGATCTATGCAAATATCAATGAGTGAGAGAGAGAATTCTTGTGCCTTTTTTTTTCCTTTATACGAAACAGAAGTGTCTTCGGGGATGGGTGAGAGGGAGGGACGAGGGACACCCTAGACCAGTTGGACAAAGTGCTTCAGCATTTGATGTGTATTTTCGGGAAAAAAAAAGTTTTTTTTTATTTCTTCTTCCTTATTTTTTATTATTTAATTATGTTTATATAGTCATTTGAGATTTAATGGCTTTAACTAAGTTTTAATGTTTGTCACGTCAGCATTTCCGTTTAAATTATAGATGAATTTAGATAGAGGAGGTATGTTGAATTGTTTTTTATAGTTTGAAAGTATGTTAAATAGTTTTAAAAAATCAGAGACACTTTAAAATAGGGTTATAATTTAGGGAGCAATTATAAAAATAATCTTTTTTTTTTTTTAAAAACAAGGTACTCTTTCAACTTTTTACACAAACAAATAGTTTCTTTTTTAATGAAAAATTCTCAATAAATTTGGTGAATTCTTGCTACAACTAAACGTCTATTTTTTTTCTCGTAATTCTTATAAAAATAGATTATTAATATTTATTTTTTTAACCGTTAAATTTATATTAAAATATATTTATTTTATATATTTTTTAATTTAATGTGATATTAATTAAATTTAACAGTTAAAAATTAATACTATTGATATGACGGATTATCAAAAAAAAATCTCTTTTTCTATTTTGTTTTTTTTTGTTTTTTTTGCTTTTTTTTGCTCAGAAGTATGTTGTTGACACGTTAAGGACATCTGGTTTATAGGCATTGGGATCAATTGACGTGTGGGCACACACGCAAATTGGTAGTCGGTTTCAATTCTAGAATGAACGTATCAACAAATAGAAATAGGTATAATTTTTTCTTTTTAACAAATACTTTCATCTAATATAAAAAAATACAGAATTTCATCGAAATATAAACTTATAAAGAGACTGGTCGCCTTAACTTGCATGTGAGGGCATCTTGTTGTTGTCTCTCTGGTTTTTCTTGTTCTTTCTCGCATCATCTTTTTTTTTTTGAAATTTTTTAATATATCAGTATGTCAGATTCTTTAACTGTTAAATTTACATATTTTTAAATTTTTATGTAAATTTATATACATTTAACAGATAAAAAATATAATCTATGAATGAATATGCTAACTTACCGGGGAGACTTTTTTTTCTCCCATCTTTTGAAAAGGTTTTCACTTCTTGACCACGTAACCGACCTTGTGTCACTCTGCCCCCCTCTTCCGTACAAAAGGCGGCATATCTGCAAGTAAAAGGGGCAAAAAAAAAAAAAATTTTATTTTTTATTTTTTATTTGTTATTTTTTTTTATGGATATTTGCTGTTAGCTCGGAACTGGGTATTGAACTAAGCATATTATTAGTTTTCTTTAAGTGGTAATAATTGTATTAAAAATTGGTAGTATTTATTAACTAAACTTCCTCAATTAATGTGATAGTTCATTAGTATAATCATATAGAATTTGTGACTCATAGTGATAGCTCTTAATGATTACCACCACGCCAAGTAAAACATTAACCACTAAAATACAAAATATAAAAATAAACTAAAAAAAATTACGCGATGTTTTGCTCTAATGGTAAATTAAGGTTTTCAGCCATGGTATTAATATTACCTACTTTTCAAGGCCCCTATAATCGATCTGTGCGTGAAATTTTTTGGTTTTTAGTGTTATGTGTATCATCAAAAATATTAGATTCTAGCATTCGAAAAAAAAAAAAAAAAAAGATTCTAGCTTATTTTACCTTATAGTTAAGAGTACTACGTGCTATTTTAACGCAAAATTCATGTCAGATAATTAAAATAGAATCAAATGGTTAAAAAATAAAAATAAAAAATAAAAACCTACTTCTACCCAATAGGGTAAAAAAAAATTGTGTTGCTCAAGAACTTTCCCTAAAATATTTACCCCTAGATTCTAAAGGGCATTATTTCTTATTTTCACCCTATTACCACATGAATTGTGACACATATAAGGCGATATCATATTATCATTGATTTTAACATTTTGTGATGTTATTGAGTAAATGCAACCATCCTATAAAGCAAATTGACAAGCGTTACTACATCAAATACTACTTTAATCACACCATTATCATCATATAATATTATATAATATCAAAAGTCATATTACCTTACCCACATTAATTGACTAATTAAATTTACTAAACTACTGACCCCACGATTTCCGCACTCCCATCGGCGTGGGCGTATTCCCTCTATACTGTTCACAAGTCCGTGGCTCAAAACAAAAAATAATAATAATAATAACCATTAAAAATAAGGGAGTAATTAAAAATAGCTAAAAATAAATTTAGAAAGGACCTTTATTGTTTGTTTTCGAGAAAATCGAATGGGATAAGAAAAAGACAGCTCTCCTTCAAAGACTTTTTAATCCGACCGTACACGTGTAGGACCTTTGTCCTTTTTCCACACGTGTAGACACGTGGCTCCTGATCCTTTTTAGTTCTTCTAATCCAAATGCCAAAACTTTCTACCAATCACAGCGAGGTCCAGATCGTTCCTTCGATTGGATAATGGTCACATTTCGCAAATCTTGTTTGATATGGTCACTCAGTTTTATGATTCACGCACTATTCATTCGGTATCTGTTTTACCAAAATATCCCTGATCCGGTATTCCTCTCGGTTCTCACCATGTCAAAATTTCGACAGGAAAGTAATTTCGCTTAAAAATAAGTGTTTAATTTGCTGTAATAAAGTGCGCCCACAAAATGTCATAAGATGATTAAAATAATATCAACTATGAACGTGTATTCGAATGTAAATTTTATTTTACTTTTTCAAATATTTATAACCTTCCTTTGAGAGGGTAGTTGTAAGCTTAGACTAAAAACAAATCCACGTCATCCGAGATATCGAAAGTCTAGTATTCATATTTTCTACAAAAAACGGTGTCGTATACAAAACTCCCCTAATACCTCCAAATTTAAAAGAAAATTTCTTCCGAAATGCTGAACATGAAAATAATACAATTTTCTACTAAAAAAGGAAAATAAGAATTTGCAAGATAAAACTTTCATAATTAGAAACAATTTTTGAATAAAGACACTCAAACAAATAAACTTATTTTTAAGTGAATAATTTTTAAATTTACAAGATGCAATTTCACATAATATCTAACTTTTGAGAGATGTAACTTCACATTTCTTTTTTTTTTTTATATAGAAATAACACTATTCTTTTTTCGAAAATTGAGTTAATTAAGAAGTGAGTTTTATTTTTGAACAAATTACATTTGTACTTTTTGGACCACTAATCTTTTTTCTTTTGTTTTTTTTTAGAAAAAAATTTATGTTTCAACTCATGTTACATTATTTTAATATTAAATTATTATTAAATAGCTTTTAATTAGAATTAGATACATTTAATTAATCTTTTAACGACGTGTTACGTCCGTAAGCTGTTAAAATTATACACGAAAATTAATAGAGTAGATAATTTAATACGTAATTTATATATCAAGAGGTATTTTAAATAATTTTAAAAAATTAAAAAATATTTTAAAATAAAGTACATAATTTAAGAGATATTTATGAAAATAACTCATATATTGGCGGAGAAGGTTCCTTATTTTCTGGTTGAAAAAAACAGAAAATAAAATTTCCTAATAAAAATGTGGAGACTAGACCACGTATGTAATATGTTTGTTGAATGGCTGCTCCTTGCACTATTTAAATATTTTCTTCTCCGAATTATTAAAATTAATTATAAAAAATAAAAATTTAAAAATTGTTTTCTTCTTCCCCTGCCCATCCACTGATTCGGAGACTCTGCTCTCTCTTCCACCATAGCTTCTTTCCTTTAATTTTCGCTTCATCTCTCTCTTCTGCCAACTGATTTTACAACTTTACCCTCTTCAGATCCATTTCCCTTCTCTTTCTTTCTTTCTTCTTCAGGGTTTTGTTATATTTATTTTCAAAGCCCACACTTCAAATCCTTTTCTTTCTTTTTTTCTTCCACCGATTTCTCTGCTTCAAGCTTGCTCTCATTTTCCCCAATCCCAAACCCTCAGATTTCCCCCAATTGAATCCCACATTTCGATTTCTCCTTTTCATTTTTTCGATTCGAATTCGCAACTGTATAAAAAACTCGTCGATTTGACCTGTTTTCCGTAGTTTCTCCGCCGATTTGCGATCCCGTTGATCCTGATTTAGGGTTTTACAGCAAGGAAACGAGCCAGATTAGGGTTTTTTTTCACGCCCTTCTTCTTCGTGGCGATGTTGGGAGCGGGTTTGCAGTTCGGTCGTGGCGGCGGTCGCGGCGAGGATCGGTTCTACAACCCCGCCAAAGCGCGTAGTAGGGCCTACCAGAACCACCGTGCCGAGCAACTCCGGCGAGCTCAGAGCGATGTATCGCCCAGCCAGGCACAATCCTCCTCCGAGCCGGAGAGCCGCGAGCCGCCGCCCGCTCGAGTCGCCCCTTGTCGTTCCCCCGCCGTTGAGCAATCTCGAGCGGTTCTTGCAATCGATAACGCCGTCCGTGCCTGCGCAATACCTCTCCAAGGTTTTCTCCGTTCAAGATTGTTTTACAAGAATTACTATACAAATTTTTGTCTTAGAGTTTGTTGTGGTTTTGTAGACGACGATGAAGGGATGGAGGCCTTCCGATGTGGAAATATCTCGGCCGTACTTTGTGCTCGGCGATCTTTGGGAGTCGTTCAAGGAATGGAGCGCTTATGGCGCAGGAGTGCCTCTGATATTGAACGACGCAGATTCGGTAGTTCAGTACTATGTTCCTTACCTTTCTGGTATTCAAATATACGGCGACTCTTCCAAGTTTTCGGTAAAGCCAAGGTAATTCCGTGTTACTGGCAATTGGGTTTCTCTTTCAGCTCACTAATATTATGTACATTTACATTTGCTTTATTTCAAGCTAAGTATTTGGCTATTCCGTGCCTTTTGTTCGTTAATTTGATGTAGGTAACGTTGTAATAGTTTTTCTGAAGAATCAACTTTTCGTTTCTTACATGGTATATTAATTTTTGGAGGTCAATATGATGCGACCTAGTTTCTAGACTGTGGTCCTATAACTTTATGCTTGGCGTTTGAAGTAGTCATGTTAAATATACCTGTATTTATTTTTTGGAACCATGTTCAATTAACTTAGCATGCAAAGAAATGCAACTGACTGAGTGTGGAATTTTTCTACGCGGAGGAGGGTGGGCAGGAGGCTTAAATACTTTGAATTGGGG